AAGAGCGGGCAGACGAGGAGAGATAACAGGGCATGCGTGTTAGTGACAGACAGAGCCAGAGAGAGGGCACGGGACCCCACGCCAAGGGGGAGTCAGGGATGGCCCTGGAGCAGGGCTGGGAGCAGGGTTGACAGTCTAGTAGACTCACAAATATTCAGACACACCCTCCCCCCACTTTGGGTCTTGGAAAAGAGCTGGGGAGAGTGACAGCCACTAATTTGGGGCCTGTCTCCTGTCCCCAGTGCATTCCAACCTGCTCATGTTAAGAGTCCCCTTGCTGTGCAGCCAGTGGATACCCCCGTGTTTGCCCATAGTGTTAGGAAGGGCAAAGAAGAAATGCCCTCTGCTCCCTGCTTCACGAGCCAGAGTGGGAGCAAACACTAGAATATTCCACTGACAGTGAGCAGACAGGACAGGTTCCAGCACCACCAGGCCCTGCCTCTGTAGGGCGGAGCAGCCCTCCATGGGCAAGAACCACATTTCCTGGGGCACGGGCTATGCCGGATAGGATTGGTATGGAGATGCATCCACACCCCCCTTCCCTGGCCCTTAGCAGGAAGCCCTGCTGCCCGCAGAACACGCTGCCACACACCTGCATCCACCTGGCCCTCCCCCCACCGAGCAGGCCAGCAGACAGCCGCCCAGCCCTCTTGCAAGAACCAGCAAGAATTACCTTCTTAAAGAAGGGGATGCGCTTGCCGTGGGGCGGCGGGGTGGTGACACTGCTAACGCTAGTCTTGGCAGAGCCGCTCTGCTCCCCGAGCTCTGCCTCCTCCTCCTCTAGCTCTAGGGGGTCTAGCTCAAAGGCTAAGTTAGTCATTTCATTACCTGAACCGGAGAGTCAGGAGACAGGGAGGGAGGCGAGGGGGCAGAAGGGCGAGATGACGCGGAAACACAGACAGAACACAGGGATGGGGGTGGGAAAAAAGAAAGAAGAAGAGGTGAATGGAACAGGGCTGGAAGAAATGAACGGGGGGGCAGGGGATCAGGCAGAGAGATGGAGCTACTGAAGAAAAGGGAGAGGAGAGACACGACAGGCCCAGTTTCTGGGTACCCTACTCTCCACTGCGTGTGTTTGGGGGACTCAGGATTGGGGTGCCACCTACAGCAGGGGAAGGAGAGGTCAGGCAGCAGGGAGGCCACCCCATTGAAGTTCTCCCTACCCCCTGGGGTGGCAGCAGCTCTTACCACTGGCAGGGGGTGTGGGGCGGCGGGTGCCAGTCACCACGTCTCCCAGACTGGAACTGGAGTTGTCACCTGATTTGCTGTGTGGGTAGAGAGGCAAATGGAGCTTGTGAGCGAAACGGTGGGGGTGGGGGATCCTGTCAGTTCACATGCTGCACCCCCGCCCAGAGATCCTCCAGTGCCCCCAGTGACAGCCCAGGCAGGTCTGAGCCCTCAGTGCCAGGATCCACCTGGCTGCCACCCCCGCCCCAGCCGGACACCTGGAGCTGAGGCGGTTCTGGCGCAGCTTCTGTTCCTGCAGCAGGCGCAGGCTGTCCAGTTTGACGGGACTGGGGATGAAGCCCACCTCGCAGCCCTCCTTGACCAGCCGCCCAATCCACCAGTCATTGTTGTATTTCTGTGAACACGACGGGGTGGGGTGGGAGTGGAGCAACCGAGTAGGAAATTGCGGGTGCAACCCAGCGCTCACCCTCCATGGAAACCCCTCTGCACTGGCCGACCCTGCCCAGAGTGGGTGTACCCACAAAGAGCTGTGCCCCTGTGCAGCCTGAGGACAGCCCAGCTGCGAGTCCAGCATCCCTCGGGCCATGGGCTATCCCTCCGCTAGCACGTCCCTGTTCTGAGAGTCCTTCCCCACTCCCCATGCTAGAAAGGCAGCAGGAGGAAATGCTGACACCTGCAGGGCCTGGTGTGGTGCCACTCCAGCTTAAGCCGCACAACAGACCCTCCCAACAGCCTTGTGGCCTAAGCATTACCACCTCATTCCCACTGAAAAATCCCAGTGCAGAGAGGTGGAGATTTGTCTAAGGTCACAGCAGGTTCAACCCGGCTCTGCGTGGCTCAGAAGACTTTTTTCCCATTGGAGCTCTGGCTTCTCTTGGCACCCATACCCACCACCCCCTGGCCTCCCTCCTGGTGCTAAGCACTCTCCCCACCTCCTTGATGTGCAGAAAGTCCTTGGGCTCAAAGGTGATGGCCACTCCCTGCACAGGCACCTCGTCCCCTGGAGACGGGTTGTAGCCAACGTTAGTCCGCACAGCAAATGCCACCGGCTTAGTCTAGAGGGGGCACACAGAGGATGACAACCAGAGGGTTATTAAATCACAGTGTGACATTCAACTTCCTGGGGTGGGGGAACAAATACGAAGGTGTTTGCTTTGTACACTGGTCATTCAAACGCGTACTGAGGGCGGCCAGGAGGTGGTATGGCGCTTAAGGCATTGAACTTCCACAAGGCGGATCATAGTTTGGGTCCCAGATCTGGCAGCTTAAAAATCATACCTGGGGGGTGATTTTTCGCTTTCTGTCTCTCTGTCTCTCTCTGTCTGTCTGGCGAGCACATGCGCCCTATTGCAAAAACCTCTCCAAAAAAAAAAAAAAAATCATACTGGGTGTGCATGCCTGCCCAAAAACCCAGCAGAATACTAGAGGAGAAGGGATTGTGGCAAGGCCATCCCCTCTGGGGGTGACTAAAGAAAAAGCATACTCAGGGCCAGATGGTGGCATATCAGTAAGGCAGCTGGACCTACAGGGGAAAAGTCCTGGGTTCAAGTCTCAGTACTTCCCTGAACACACTGGGCATGGTATGAGGCCCTGTTGGAGAGGTTGCCTGTCTCTGTCTGTTTCTGTCGCATGGGAAAAATAAGTGAATAAACTTTAAACATATGTAGACTGGGGCAGGCGAGTGGCATGGCGGTTAAGGTGTTGTACTCCCACATGGCAGACCAGGGTTTGGGTTGAATTGCTTCCGCATTCTCCCTCTCTCTGTCTCTGTCTCTCTTTAGTCAAATTGAAGAATAATAAATAAATAAATAAATAATGCTTTTTTAAAACGTATACTGAGGGGTTGGACTGTGGTGCAGCAGTAAGATGCCATGCTCTGAGAGGTCAACCCATAGGGGAAGGTTCTGAGTGTCTGGAAACCTCCCATGGTAGGCTGGGCACACATATACCCATGATCTGTGACCTGAGAGTGGGTCAGGCCCAGCAAGGCCCTCTTGGGAGTGCTGGGTCTCGGTCTCTCTCTCTCTCTCTCTTTCTCATAGAAAAAATAAATGAGGAAACTTGAAAAAATGTATACTGTAGGGCCAGCCGGTGGCATGAAGGTGAAGGTGCCTGGATCCCACATGGACGAGTGAGTGGTTCAAGTCCTGGACCTGGTGACTTAAAAAGCACATTGTGGGGCCAAGCAGGTGGTATAGTGGTTAAGGTGCTGGATTCCAAACTGGCTGGCAATAGTTCAAGTCCTGGATGTGGCAGCTTGCACTTTCCCTTTCTCTCTCATCAAATTAAAAAATAATGAGGCCAACAAATGGTATAGCAGTTACATTACTGGACTCCCATGGCCAACCATGATCCGAGTCCCAGACCCAACAATGGCTTGAAAATCACAGCAAGCACATGTGCATGTGGGCCCAAGATCCCGAGAGGAGAATGGAGAAGGGATTGTGGCACGGCCATCCTCCCTAAGGGGTGATTTCTCACTTTCCCTCTCACTGTCTCTGTCTCTCTCCAGCGATAGCATGTGCCCTAAGGCACACAAAGCTCTATAGAAAATAATAACAAGTTAAATAAATATATTTTTTTAAATGTCAGGTGCATATGTGTGTACCCAAAATTCTGAGAGGAGAATGAAAGGGAGGAGATTACAACATTGCTATCCCCCAAGGGGTGCTTTCTCACTTTCCCTCTGTCTCTCTCTGGCAAGTGCATGCATCCTAGAGCAAGAATAATATCTTTTTTTTCGGAGAGGTTTTTGCTATAGGGTGCATGCACTCGCCAGAAAGATAGAGAGAGACAGAAAGCAAGAAATCACCCCCAGGGGGGATGGCCACGCCGCAATCCCTTCTCCTCCATTCTCCTCTCGGGATCTTGGGCATGCACACACACGTGCCCGGCGTGAGTTTAAGCCACCAGGTCTAGGACTCGGACTGCGGTCGACTACATGGGAGGCCAGCAACATAGCCATTACACTAACTGCTGGTCCCTCTAGAGGAAAATTTTAAGAAGAAATATGTACTGTAGCTCTCTCTGGGTGGAGAGGGCACTGGGGAATAATAAGTATTGATGCGGGGGAAGCCAGAATGACACTCATAAGGAACAACAATAATAATAACATTAATGACAGTAGCTACTTTTTGTTGTTTCATTCTTTAGTTTTTTTTTTTTAAGCATTATTTACGAATTTTATTCCTTGTCATCATCATTATTATTTTTTAAAGAATTACTTTGTTTTAACTTTATTTCTTTATTTTCCCAGAGAGGGACAGAGTGAGAGAGAGAGAGAGAAAGTGAGAAAGCAAGCCGCCAAGTCTGGAACTCAAACTGTAGTCGGCCATGTGGGAGTCCAGTGCCCTCAACCACCACGCCACCTCCTGCTGGCCCCATTATTATTATTATTTAATTTGACCAGAGAGAGAGGGAAAGTGGGAAAACAAGCCACCAGGTCTGGGACTTGAACCATGGTTGACCACGTGGGAGTCCAGCACCTCAACTACCATGCCACCTGCCAGCCCCTGTTCTTTAGGCAACATTAATGACAGTAGCTACTTTTTATGTTTGTTTGGTTTTTGGTTTTTGCCGTAGAGCATGTGCATTCGCTGGAGAGAGATGTAGAAGGAAAGTGAGATATCTCCCCTCCAGGAGGAATGGCCTTGTCACAATCCCTTCTCCTTATTCTCCTCTTGGAATTTTGGAAATGCACGCACATGCACCCAGGGTGATTTTCAAGCCATCAGGTCCGGAGCTCAAACTGCAGCCAGTCAAGTGGGAGTCCAGTGCTTTAGCCACTGTGCCACCTGCTGGCCCTAGCAGCCAGTCGGTGGCGTAGTGTGCCAGGTATTTAGCAGTTTAGTGTGCCAGGTATTGTTACACGTTGTACATGCACTATTTTATTTATTCATCATAGGATCCTATGCGGTTAAGTATTGGGTTGTCAGAAAAGACATGGTATATTTTTCTGTTTTTCTGTGCAAAAATGCGTCATGACTTTTCCAACGACCCAATGATATTATTGTCTTCATTTTAGTGAGTGAGAGACTAAAGTTCAGAAAAGCTAAGTGACTTGCTTAAGATCACATAGTTACTGAGAGTCAGGGTAGAGATTCCAGCCCACGAAGTTTGATTCCAGGAAGAGGTGGAAATTTCTAGCACATATCAAGCCCTGGTGTGTGAAAACAGCATGTGGCACTTAGACTGTGTAAGGAGGCAGACTGTTTTTTCCAGTTTTTCCAGAGGGCATGTACACTTGCCAAAGAGAGGCAGAGAGAAGGAACGTGAGCAGCGTTCCCTCGGGGGCCTGGTGACACCACAATCCCTTCTCTGTTTCTCCTTTCAGGATTTTGGAGACACACACATACTCAGCGTGTTTCTCAAGCTGCCAGGTCCAGGACTCGAACCACACAGTCAGCCAAATGGGATCCAGCTGCCTTAACCACACCACTGGCTGGCTCGAGGAAGCAGATATTATAGTTTTGTTCTTTTTCAAAAATATTTTTAGAGATTTTTGCTATAGAGCACGTGTGTTCAGTGGAGAGACAGAGAGACAGAAGCAAGAAGTCACCCTCCAGAGGGGATGGCCACACCACAATCCCTTCTCCATTCTCCTCTCAGGATTTTCTGCACACATGCACATGTGCCCAGCATGTGTTTTAAACCACCAGGTCCAAGACTCCAACTGTGGTCAGCCACATGGGAGTCCAGTCCTGTAGCCACTACACCTCGGGCTGGCCCCTTATAGTCCATATTGTACAGGGGAAGGACAAAGGCACGTTAAGGTTTAGGGGTAACAGCTAGGAAGCAGCCAGGCCAAGCCTCTACCCAGGCTGTCCAGTGTCACTAAGGCCTGGGGGGTGGAGAAATAAGGCCCACACAGCCCTTCCCCACCTGGGCACTCTCACCTTGGCTTTCTCAAGCTGCGCTAGCGCCTGGCGCTCCGCCTCCTTCCTTAAGGCTTCCCGGTCCTCCTCCAGAGACACGTCAGAGTCCGATGGACGGCTGGTGTAGGACTCTGCTGAGCCCTGAAAACAGAGAGGCCCAGCTCAGGGCAGTGCTATCTCCCTTAGCCCCTGGGCCTGGGGAGGCGTGGAGGCACCACCGCCATGGATACCTGGAGCCCCAGTCAGCCGGCACAATGCCTCAAAGGCTAGGAGAAGGTAGTGTTGAGTGGAAGGGGCCAGAGGCTGAGGTTTGCAGGCCCTGGGAAGAGTATGGACCTAGGAAGGGTGACAACAGCAAGTGGAGGGTTAGGCAGGTCCAAGGACAGCTGCTTGAGGCCCAGGGAGGGGTGGGAACCTGATAGGGGCACAGCCCAGGGGAACAGTGCCAGGGCCGAGTCTCCACTCCCTGCCCCTCCTTCTCTCCCCTGCTCCCGACACCCGTCGCTGTGATAGACTCAGCAGAAGCCCAGCGGCCTCCCTCCAGGGACTGCAGCCACCAGCAGTTTAAGCCTGAGTGCTGCACTGACGGCAGTGGGCAGCTTGCTCAGCATGACAAGGCCACCAAAGTTTTTGCTGTCTTCTGCTCAAAGGTGGGGGGTGGACAGGCTCCTCATTCCTCTGTTTGGTAATGCTAAAACCAGACCATCCCACTCAGAACCCCAATCGTCATGCTCTCGTAAGATGCAAGAGAACACAGGATTCTTGGGGTGGTCCAGGCAGAAGAGGCAAGTGGAGGGCGAACTCCGGAGCAGGCCTTTCCCCAGGCTAGGCCACAAGGAGAAGGAAGGCTGAGAGTCTGCGTGTGCCCAAAAGCTGGCTCTGACCACACTCACCACTCCAGAGCATAGACAACTCCTTTAGGAATGCACACACGTGTGCAAGGCATGTGACGCCTGTACAAACCTAGGAGCAGGAGTGAGCACACTCGCTCCTGTGTGCTCACACGCACTGCGAGCGTGTGCGTGTGGATGGGGGTGTGTTCTGTGGCATGTGCACGACTGAGTGCCTCCACTTGGGCACCCAGGTATCAACGTCCCTAAAGGTGGAGGCATACGAGGGCCGGAGCCCGGAGGCGATCTACACGTGACTGTGCAGAGGTGGTGCTGGATGGGGTGGGAGGTCACGTGAGGAAAGAGCAGGACTGCAGGGATGGGAAAGGGCCACCTGGTCAGGAGGGTCCACCAGCTTGGTACGGAGAGGACCTGGGAGAGAGGAGGCCAAGGCCCACCTCTCCCCAGACGTCCCTAGTATTAGCTGGCATAGCCATCCATCTCTTTCCCAGCCAAACTATGCAAACAGAGACTCGTGGGGCCGGGGTTACAAACAAAAGCTGGAGGACAGACACAAAGGAGGAGGGACTGTGAAAACCAGCTTCTCTACTGCTCTGGCCCTGCTGACGGGAACACCCCGAGTCAGGGAGACAGCTGCCCAGCCAGCCAGGAAATGGACCAGAAGACAGACTCAGAGAGAGACTGGCAGAGAGGCACTCAGTGACCCTTACACACACGCGCACACATACACATGCACACACACGACAGACACGTCAGAAATGGCAGGAGTCAGGAAACAGTGAGGAAGCAAGAAGGCTGGTGAGAAGGCTCCCCAACAGCTTTCCTAGGGGCTGCTCTTGCCACCCGCCACCCCTGCCCCATCCCCAGCTCACCACCACAAGGGTCCGGCTGGGCACCTCCATCCCGGCGCCCTTGGTGCCTGGCCCTGCTGGCCTAAGGGGTGGCCCAATCTGCCCGTTGCCCCAGGGGGCTCAGGTTACAGGCAGAGTTGCTACATGTGCAAACTGCTAGGGTATATTTAGCTCTGAGATGTGGCAAGGACTGCTCCCCCACTCCCAGCCACCTCCTGGGGGTAAGAGCTGTGGAGTCAGAGGAGGAAGAACCAGAGGCAGGGGCTGGTGGCTGACCCCCTGGGGAGACAAACACTGGAGAACCACAGCCCTTTTATGCCAAGTGGGGCAACCAAAGCCCAGCGTCCTGCTCAGCCCCGGCCCAGCCCTGCAACAGGAGGGATGAGGGAGTGACTGCAGAAAGGACTGCCTGTCTGTTTGCATACTTAGGAAAGGCTGGGTCACAGCTCCTCTTCCTGCACCTCCTAAGCCACGCAGGGGCTCGCAGGTGTTAAGCGTTGTAGGGACAGTGGCGCAGTGGTAATCCAGCATGTCTCGGTGATGCTGAGACCATGTGGGAAGGTCCTAGGTGCAAGTCGTGAGGTCTCCTGTGTCCATCGGGTGTGCAAGCGCATGCCCACAGCCACGGCTGGCTGAACTATGCGCTGCGGCATGAAAACCCTATTGGGAGTCTTTCTATCTCCTTTTCTCATAGAAGAAGGGCCTCGCTCCAGTCCACGGTCAATCTGCCTGGAAGCACTCTCTCTCCTGGCCAAGGGGGGCTCCTCCTTCTCAGGGTCCTGACTTCACCTGCCCTGCCACTTCCTCTTTAACCCACTCCTTTCCTTATCTGATCCCAAGCCCTCTTGCCTTTTTTGGGTACCAGGCTTTGTTGAGATGCTCAGTAGTCATAGTAACCACATGCCTCTGTCACCGCCTCTCCCAGAGCCTAAGATGGCCTGGGGTTTGAGAATTAGAACAGAGATGACAGCAGCGGCTTCCTGACTGAGCACAGAAGACCCCGGAAAGCTATTCTCAGCTACTCACTATTAATCGGGAGTGCTGGGTGACAGTCCTCTCTAACATCAACTACCTCCTGCCTCCACCAAGCCCCCGCATCGCACTTGCTCTCTGCTTAGCAAACAGCCCTATCAGCATGCGAGGAGGATGTTTCTCTGACCCACACCTAACCAGGGCTCCAGGGGCCCAGAGGCCCTAGCTCCTCACTTCCAAGGACCTGCCTCCACCCCACCCTGTCACAGATGCTGGGGGAGGACACAGAAGCAGACAGCCGGCAGGGGGAGTGGGTGACAGCCCAAAGCCAGCTAGAAGGAGGCAGGCCAGGCTGTCCCTGAATAAGATGACGCAGGCAGGCAGCAGGGGCTGGTGCCTGGTGCTGGGGGGAGAGGCTGGGCGGGGGCGCGGGGAGTGGGTGCAGCTGACAGTACATCCAGAAGAAGTCATGGGGTGTCAGGGTGATGGGGTGGCTCCAGGCAGGTGACAAATGACACAGGGCAGGATGCCTGGAAGCCGCAGACAGAGCTCTCCAGCGCTGGCCTCCACTAACCAGCCACCTCCCCCTCAGCCGACTCCAGGTTACCTGGCGGACAAAGCTGTTGGACGTGGTATCTGAGGACGTGCTGCCATCTGACCGTTTGAACCGCCCCTTCCTCTTGCTGTATTTGCCCTGGAGAAGCCAGGAAGGAACAAGAGAGGGATCAGAAAGGACCATTTCCAACCCTCACCCCACCAGGTCCGGCGCTACAGCCAAACCTTGGGAACACCATTCCCGGATCTGAACGGCTCCACCCCCACACCCCTGCATCTTCTTCCAGAGGTGGTACAGCCCAAGGGGAGGGAGGGTCTCCCTTCTTCGCTACCAGGGCCCGGAACACAGCCCAGGGTAGGGAACTGGGAGAACCCCAGGAGGCACACACAGAAACCCCCCAAACCAGCCCGGCAGGCTAGGAAGGGGGAGGTGCTGAAAAGCTGGAGGCTCATTAGGCAGCAAAGCTAATTAAGATGCTGGGCAGGCAGGAAGGCCTCTGGGGAAGGGAGAGGCTGCCTGCAGAGCTAGGGGGCGGAGAGAGCCCGGGAAAGTCCCCCTCCTCCCCGCCTCAGCTGGAGCAGAGGGGTCTGCGTGGGAGGGGTCCCCAGAGAGAGGGAGACTCGCCAGCCCAGGGCCAGCTTGGCCTCTTGCTGCGCCCAACTCTTCGCTTTGCTTTTGCAGAGTGGGGAGGGGGTGGCAGCTTTGAGTTCCAGGAGGCCCAAGGCTAGATTGGAGGGGCTGGGGGGTATGAAACTGTATTTGGAAAGTAAACATCCATCCCAACCATGGCCAGGCACTGTGGGGGCAGATTTTGGTCCCCACCCTGGCAGGACTTTTTCTCAGCCCCCTCTTTACAACCACAGTGGCCACGCCCCTCCCCAAGGGTGCAAGAGGGATCAAGCTTCCAGTCTCTCCCCCATCTTCAGCTGCCACTGCCTACGCCCCGTCCCCATGGCACCCACCAGGCTACGTCAATCTGCCTGCAGTCTACATGCCCCTTGGCCCCGCCCCAGGCCCAGCCCAGGACACAGCCCCACTTGTCCCTGGGGTGGGCTGGCTCAGTCTCCCTGACTCACTCCCACTTGCTTGCATGGAGTGGATACTGCCTGACCACTCAGGTAGCCACACCTTCAGGTATCGCCAGGCCCTCGGGTAAAGAGACTTTGTCTCTGCCCTCCCCAACTTACGTTCACACACTTGGCCCTGGCCCACTCCAGAATCAATCTGGGGGATGATGAAGGTTTGGACTCCAGGCCCCTGTCCCAGCCTCCATCCCAGACTTTCCCTGCCAATCTAAGTGAGTGGTGACTGGACTGAGGCTCTGGCTCCTGGGACCTGGGAACAGGAGTATGGATCATGAAGAGGAGGGCACTTGGGGACCCGTAGGGAATCTTGCCTTCCTCCCCACTTTCTCAAACCAGAGGTACATCCAAATTCTAGTTTTGAGGCTCCCTACAAGCCTATGAGGATCTCTTAGCGAGCCCCAGAGTCTCACACCACAACACCACTACTGGCTGGCCAAAGGGAGTGGCGCTCAGAGGGACAGGGGACAGCTGAAAGGAAGGCCCCAGCTGCTGCCCAGACTCCAGGGGGCCTGGGCTGGAGGTAGAAGTATTTTTAGGTCTGACTTGACCCCCCAGCCCAACATACCCATCAACCACATTATCATGGTGGTTACAGTTGCCCCAGGCTGGCCACAGTAATAAAAGAGGGACCAGCACATCCCAGAGAAATCCCCTGGCAGGACCACCCCAGACTGGGTCTGCCCATGGGAATCCACCAAGCTCAAGAATGCCCCTTTTCTGCGGTAGCCAGGGGGCATAGAAAACGTGTGGGAATGACAGTAAGGGGGCAACCCCTTCCCCAAGTAAAACAGCTTCTCCCCCTCCAGGACGGTGACTTGGCATCCACCCAACTTTCCAAACTTTGGAGGCGTTGGGGCAGGAGGGTGGAGGGTAAGCCAACGTGGTGTGGGGGGAGGGGAACTGGTCTAAGAGGAGGATGGAGCCGAAGTGGCTGGAAGGGGGACTGGCCCCTTCCCCACCCTGGAAAGCCAGTGTCTAAGGCTTCGAAGGCCGGCTGGCACCGCCCTCTGACCACCGCCTCGGCCATCTCCAGGTACCACCCCCGCCCCACCCACCCTCGCCGGGCGCCCCCGAGCGCGCTCTGCGTCGCCTGCCTTGCCTGGCTCGCTCTCTAGCCTCCTTCAACCTCCTCTTCTCAGGCCCGGATCCCTCCGTCAGTGTCCCGGCTCTCAGCCCACTGGAGCGGGTACCCGAGCAGCAGGGACCCTGACACGGGGGAGATGAGGAGGCAAGGGTGACAGGCGGCCCACCCGCGCCATCCCCGCTCCGCAACACCGCAGCCCAACTCCCGGCCAAGCGCGCATCAATCACTAAACCTGCGGATGGGGGGCGCGCAGGCACCCCTCACCCATCGCTCCAGGCAAATAGCCCCAGCAAGGACCGAGGGAACGACCCTCCTCCCTCTGCCCGGCTACCACGCCTCACCTGTGGACTGGGGTCGAAGACCTCCATGGGGATCTCCTGGGAGGGTGGGTAAGGGCCCCGGGACATGCTGGTCTTCTGGACCATGGAGAGGAGCCTTTCCTCCGGCCGCCGGCCCGGCCCAGCCGGGCGCCCTCAGCGCATGGGAGAGGCCGGCGGAGCCGAGCTCAGCGCATGGGAGAGGCCGTCGGAGCCGAGCGCAGCGCAGTGCAGCCCGCGCGCAGTCCAGCCACCCAGCCCGGCCTTCGGCCTGGCTCCGAAGGGGGCTGATCTCTGGCCTCAGACTGGCCTGGGGTGCAGGCAGCCCCCGGAGGCGGGGAGAAGTGAAGAGGGGACTGGGGTTCGAGGGTGGAGTGGAAGGCGGTTTACCGGTGAAAGCCAAGAGCGAATAGGGGGAAGCACGAATTGGCAGGGTTGGCACTGCCCCCCTTTCAGTCCCAAACGGCTCTTCCAGCACGTCTCCCCAGCCCACTCCGGCTTGGGCCACCGGAACTTCCAGATCCAGTGATCCTAGGACCGGCTTTAACTCCTTTCTCACCGGTGTGGGGCCCAGGCCCCTCCTTCTCAATCATGGCTCTGGAGGTTGCGGGCTGGAGGCTGAGGCTGGGATGGAGAGGATGTCGAAAAGGAGCTCCCAACAAAGACAGCAACGAGAAATCCCAGGGACCCGGGAGTCCTTCTGCCCTAATCAGTTGTGAGGATTCCCCACCACCACCACCACCACCACCACCACCACCACCACCACCACCTCCAGGCTCTTCTAACAGGCCGGGAGTGGGGCTGGATGATGAGGTCCCAGCTCCTTGTCATAGAAAGCAAGAGGAAGAATAGGGAGCTGAGAGTCCAGGAGACTGGCTGAAATCACATCAGGGTCTTTGGCCTAGAAATGCACCTTCTACCCACGACTTTCCCGGATACATAAAGAGAAGAGGGCTTAGGGGATTCTGGCAGATCTTGGTGCCAATCTTGGTCAGGCTGCTTCTTGTGTGGTCCTGGGAAAATGGCTACACCTCTCTGAGCCTGTTTTCCTCTCCTACAAAATGGGGTTGCTGTTTCTGTGATGTCTTTGTCACCATTATTGGGAGGATGCAGGAGCATTAAATGATGGATTTCTTGGGTGTTTGGAGATACTGTAAGGTACAATGCAGGAAAGACCACAGGACCCAGCCTCTCCCAACTCCACCCCTGCCCCTGCTCCACAGAGAGGAGAGACAAGAAACAGAGTAGAGGACTAGCAGATAACATGGTAATTGGGGTGCTGGACTCCTGCATGGCTGACTGCAGTTCGAGTCCCAGACCTGGTGGCTTGCTTCCTCACTTTCCCTCTCTTAGTGAGCATGTATGCCCTTTAGCAAATTGGAAGATAATAATAAAATTAATAATTTTTACAAAATTAGAATGGAGGTTAACTTGGGGCTAGTGGTGGTTAAGGCACTGGACTTCCACAAGGCTGACCGCGGGTCATGTTCCAGACCTGATGGCTTGCTTTCTTATCCTCTCTCTCTCTCTGGTCAAATTGAATAATAATAATAAATAAAAATTAAAAATAAATCATTTTAAAAAAATAATGGAAGTGACTTGCCCAGGTCAAGTGATCCTAAAATAGGGCCAGCTTGCTGTGTTCTTCTAAAGCACAAACTATTTATGAAATACACTGACTCTTCCTCCTTACCCTGAATTCTGTTAAGTGACAGGTCAGTCATTTGTCAATCACATTATCTTGGGGAAGGGCAGGGGCAGTGACTGAGGATGGAGCCCTTTAGTATTTACCTACAAACAGCTCAATAGCCAGGTGGCATGGTGATTGTAAGGCAGCTGGACCCCACATGGCCAACTGTGTAGTCCGGCTATGCCAGGCACATGTGCATGCGGGCCCAAAATCTTGAGAGGTGGGGCCAGCAGGTGGCATGGTGGATAAGGCACTGGACATTCCCACATAGCTGACTATGGTTTGAGTCCCAGACCTGGTGGTTTGCTTTCTCACTTTCTCTCTCTCTCTCTCTCTGGTCAAATTTAAATACATGAATGAATAAATAAAATTAAAATAACTTAATTCTTAAAAAAAAATCTTGAGCGAATAGAGGAAAAGGGATTGCAGGGCTGCCATCCCTCCTGGCAGGTGCTTTCCCACTGCTGGTCGCCATAGTACTATTTGACAGCCTAGTGCTGGGGTTAAGAGTGTAATGGGGGTACCAGCAAGTGGTGTAATGGTTATGTCGCTAGACTCCCAAATAGACAACTGCAGTTTGAGATCCTGATCCAGGGGCTTAAAACTCATTATGGGCACATGTACGTGTGTGCCGAAGTTCCAGAGAGGAGAATAGAGAAGGGATTGCAGCATGGTCATTCCTCCCCAGAGGGTCATTTCTTACCTTCTGTCTCTCATCTCTGTCTCTCCAGCAAGCATATGCACTGTATAGTAAAAAACTCTCTTAAAAACGTTATTTATTCCATTTTGTTTACCATTATTATTTTTAATCAGAACAGCGAGGGAAAGTGAGAAAGCAAGCTGTCAGGTCTGGGATTCAAACTGCAGTCAGCCACATGGGAGTTCATCACCCCACAGACCCCCTCCCTTAGAGTAAATTTTTAAAAAGAAATGTATACTGAATGGTTTATATGGTTTTCTGTATGTATTGTTAACTTTTACAGTTAAAGAAGGGGGGATTGTGGTGTGGCCCCAGCCCTGGGGAGGGGAGTGATTTCTCTCTCTCCCTGACAAGCACACACATCCTATAGCAAAAGAACTAAAACAAACAAAACCCCTGCCCTCCTGAGCAGAGTTCCCATCTGCCCCTGAGGACAAGAGAGCCTAGCATGACCAGGAAGGCAAGGGCTTGGCAATCAGGAAGATTTCCATTCTCAATCTGTCATTTCAGATGTGAAATGAGGATGACACTGTGTGGTGGGGCAGTGTAAGCTTTCTTTTCTCTTCTTTTGACCTTCTCAGGTCTGTTTAGCACACAGGAAAATTCACGTGAAAAGAGATGTGGTGATCGACTGGGACCAAACGAGCTGAAGCCAGAATGCAGCTCCAGACTTGTGGAACACTTAAATAATCTTGGTTTTCTTGCACTGCATACTCTAGAGCAAGAGAACTATGGGCTGGCTAGTTATTCATGTTTCTAGTACATTCATTCACATTTCTAGTTTATTCATTCATTTATTCAGCCAATGCATTTTTTATTTTTCTTTATTTTTTTAAAGAATTATTTTATTTAACTTTATTATTATTATCATTATTATTTTCCAGTTTGATCAGAGAGAGACAGAGAGAGAGAGGAAGTGAGAAAGCAAGCCACAAGGTCCGAGACTTGAACCGTGGTTGGCCATGTGGGAGTCCAGCGCCCCTATCCACCATGCCACCTGCCGGCCCCAGTGCATTTTTTAAAGAATTATTTTATTCAACTTTATTTATTCACTCAATTTAATTTGACCAGCGAGGGACAGAGAGAGAGTGCACGCGTGCGCAAGCCACCAGGTCCAGGACTTGAACCACGGTGAGCCTTGTGGGAGTCTAGCGCCATGCCACTAGCAGGCCCCCCAATGCATTTTTGAAATATTTTATTTAACTGTATTTATTTATTTTTAATTTGACCACTGAGGGACAGAGTGAGAAAGTGAGAAAACAAGCCGCCAGGTTCCAGACCCGAACCTCAACGGACCCTGTGGGAGCCCAGGGCCCTTAACCAACATGCCACCCTCCGGCCCCAAGCCAATGCATTTTTATTCATTCATTCATTCAGCCAAAGCAGTGTTTCCAGGCTGTGTGCTCCTACACCTACGGGTGCCTGCAGTCAAGTCTGAGCCAAAGACAAGACTGATTCCTGGCTTCAAGGAGCTTGCAAACTACAAACCTTAATTCCTGCAATTTTCACAACTGGAGAACCAAAATATTAGGGTTGGGCCCACATCAGAGATGGGGAAACTGAGGACCAAAAAATGAAGAGCCCACAGTAGCACAAAAAAACTCACGTCTTCCGGTTATCTATTCTGCGATCCGGAGGCTCCTAAGCTACGACCCTCGTCTGAAACGGGTCATTTTCTCTCTCACTTTG